ACCCCTAAACCCCCAAACCATAAACCTCTTCTCCCTTAAAGGACCCCTTAACGGAAAGCCCAGCACTTTGCTGCGAACCTCGGCGCGGGCAGCCAGCAAGGCAGCGACCACGGAGCGGTGTCCTCTTCTATTTAGGGGTTCAGGGGTTTAGGGTTTAGGTTTAGGGTTTAGGGTTTCGGCTTTAAAGGGTTGGATCGATTTTATAAGGGTTCTGTAGGGCCTTATGTTTGTTTTGAGAACGATTTATGGGGTTTGTGAGGCTTTTGTCAAGGCTGTATTTATAGGTATGCTATATAGACTTTGTTGAGAGCTTTACAAGGGCTCTATAGGATGCTTAACGGTGTTGTATGATGCATGCAGATAGACGCTGCGGGATGACAAACATTGCTTATTCTTCTGGATGCTAGCATGGTTTTAGTAACCAGATGGGAATTGCAGCGAGGTTGAACGTGTTTATAATTGAGTCGCGGATGCTGCTTCAGCACACACGTTGTTGGATTGATGTTCTGACGAGGGGGAAGAGAGAGCCGTACTCCAGACATCTGAGTACATCTAGGTACATTACATTCGTCTGCTAGCCTCCTAGAACACCACTTACCTACATTGTAGGCTGCTGTGAGCTACTGTACCCTAAAGCCTATATGGGGCTTATAAAAGCCAGTATCCTTGACAATAAGCCACTGACATATACTAGTGTTACGTCTACTCAGATCCCAATGTTAGGAGCACTGGGGTGCTTACGGTTTAGGGTTTAGGGTTTAGGGTTGCTCACTTGTGGCTACAGGCAATTGTTAACTGTTGCCCTGCATCGGATAAATCGATTAGCAAAAAAAGGCACACTACACCTAGGACAGCTCAGTGCGGGTCCGGAAGTGTGCCTGGGAACATATATGAAGGAAGAGAACTCCACATTGTAGCTTTTTTGCCCTATTCATACCTGAAACTTGAGAGACTGTTAAACTTGTCTCCCGAACCGACAGACCCCCTTATGTTCAGGCCCCGCACTCTAGCCCACATCCAGGAATCCACCCCCCAAGCTCCAAACCCTAAACTTTAAATCCAAAGCCGGAAGCCTTAAAATCGAAACATTTTCGGCATAAAGTGCCAAACCCCGAAGCACGAGTCGAAGAAGTTTTCCTGCAACCCGTTCATAATGACATAGAAGCCTCAGCAATTAGAGTAGTGGTTGGGGTATGTTGAAATTACTATACTTGCATGGAGACTATAATCACGGAGCATTATGAGCAAGTTTTTGAACGCCCTGCAATCAGTATAGTTTCCTTATTCTTCAGCTTTGGAATATAGGTGCCCTCCACTTGGAATACAGTTCGACTATATAAGAAACATACTAAGTGGAATGGGGTTCCGGGGGATACACTACTATAGAACTCACTATAAGGGATTATTATTTCCAGTTGTTAACCGAACAGCCCCCGCACACGAAGCTCAAGGACCTAGGAACCTTGTGCCCGAAACCGTCCGGTATCCAGTACAATCCAATGTGTGCTCCAATGGCCTGTTAGTGTCAAAGTTTGTGTATACCCTTGTGTAAGGTGCCGGGAGTCAAGAGTCGTAACAGATATCCTAAACCCATTACATTGCGCAGTTTGAAGAAAGGCAAATCATGCAGGGGCCTTCAAATGCCGCGTCGTGCAGCGCAGAGAAGCCAGCATCTGTTGCAAACCCACACCCTAAGTCAGTTTAAACCCTGAGCTGAAAACCCTATAACCCCTCTAAACCTTAAGCCCTAAAGCCTAAACCATCTTAAACCCTGAACTGAAAACCCTATAAGCCCCCTAAACCGTAAACCCTAAAGCCTAAACCATCTTAAACCCTGAACTGAAAAAAAAACCTATAAGCCCCCTAAACCCTAAACCCTAAACCCTAAATCCTAAAGCCTAAACCCTAAACCCTAAACCCTAAAGCCTAAACCTCGACCCCCGAGCCCCACACCCAACCCTACCGGAACCCGAGCCATCCTCCAGGGGCAAGCGGTTTGAGGCGGTGGCTGCCGGCTAAAGCTTTTAGGGTTTAGGGTTTAGGGTTTTGGGCTTTTAGGGTTTAGGGTTTAGGGTTTCGGGTTTCGGGTTTTATCCACTGACAAGTGCTAGCTACCATGTGGTCGACAGTTTAGGGTTTGAGGTTTACTCCGGAAGGTCTTTTTTTAAGTGCAATAGCCTCTTTTCTGTATCCAAGCGAGCCTTTTCCTAAAGGTCTATGGAATAACGGGATTTAGGGCAATCTTTACACCAACGGGACTGAAGTAAGTTTGGCCAGTGTTTTCGTCAGTATCGCAGGGTAAGTGCAATCAGACATAGTGTCTGATGCGCATACGCATCTCGACTTCTTGCATGCGCCCGCTTGGCACGGCAGGGACATCACACTTTACAGTTCACGGCATTGTTGCTTTCAGACTCCCGAGTGCAGACATAATTACCGTGTTGCAGAATTAAAGTACCTATATAGGGACTACATTAAGGCCAATGTATATACTATATGAGCACATGGACCCTTTGGGACAGTATAAGGCTCCTTTAATTGAGGGTTCCTCTCACGGTTCTATGAGGGTTGGTATTGTGGGTTAGTTCAGTAGCCTTAATGACTAGAATGCAGACAGACAGACACCTAGATAGATGGAGACGCATCATATACTGCAGCCTGATAAAAGGGTTCCTATATAGGTGCTGTATGTTCAAAGTATACAAGATTTAGGCACATGGACCCTTAAGGGGAGTTTACAAGTGTTCAACTGCCGGGGGTATCCTACTAAATCATAGGTAAAGCTATCGCCTCCGTCCGATGAATGGGAAGCAAGTTGTCTGATTGGGTCCGGCATTGGGTCCGGCATAGGGATGCAGCTTGATTATTCTTTAGAGATTCATGTTCCGGACAACCGAGCAGGATCACGGCGTATTCCAGTTTGGAACGGGATCCCGAGCAACTGAGCCCGATATCCGAAAGCTGAAAAACTCGTCCACTCCCTGATGGGGCTGCGCCTGGGGCATCTGGGCTCACTCCAGACTCCAGCAGTTGCTGCACAACCTGCGGACACTCACTTTTGCTCCAGCGTTACCAGCTCTTCCTTGCAATGCTGCTGGAGCTGTGGATGTCGACCATGTAATCATACTTCCTCAAGTCCAGCAAATGCTGCTGAGGTTTCAAAACGTGTCGTTTCGTTGGTTGAGGTGATATCATTAAATTTCAATCCTGTTTCCTGTGATGTCAAAGATGTTCTGGTTTTGAGTTTTTCCACAAATCAGATACTGCTTTGCCACCGTTGCGTCCCATTCATACCGTCACCCCCTTGGTTCTCTGAATGCTGTTCTTGAACCCTAAACCCTAAACCC